CTGTGAAACATTTATCTGCTAGATAAAAACCTTTTGGAATATATTAACTTAGCAAAACCCTCACTTCCATCAACCAAAAAGCTGTCATCAGATAGTAACTGAGGCCTATGGCTGAGATTTATCTTTTCCTGTAATTGTCTACTTAACGTTGTTTCCACCAATGTATTTGAAAAGACTTGATTATGACCTCCTTTGTTTTATTACCATAAAAACTTCATGAAATCACTTCTGACTTGGCACATGAAATTTGGGGAGACTTAAATCTATGTTCCTGGGCCATGGTCACTCATATTTGGCTCCAGAATAAACTACCTCTTATCTCCTTTCAGGTGAGAGTTATGTTTTGTGTCCATGGGAGGAAAGGGTTTATTTGACTCACATTCTGTTCATAGTCCATCATTGAGGGATGTCAGGGTAAGGACCTGAAGGAAGGAATCATGGGAGAATGCTGCTTGCTGGCTTATCACTAGCTAGCTAGCTCATAATAGTCCACGACCACCTGCCTAGGGATGGTGCCATCTACAGTGGGCCTTCCACATCAGTTAAGAATCGAGACTCTCCCCTCCCCCACAAACCCACAGGTCAAGCTGATCTAAGCAATCCTCTCAGATGACTCCAGGCTATATCAAGTTGACAATTTAATATTAACTAGAATATATACTTTCTAGGCTCTGTGAGACTCCATAGCCTTCTGACCTTCTCTCAGGGATTAAGGCCCATAAGGCCAGAAGCTATGTTCTTTTCAATGTACCATCCTCAGCACTCAATACCTGGCATCTAACAGGAGTGTGATAAATATCTTCCAAAGGAATGCCTCATCCTGAAGAAAGTTAGATCCTAGGTGCCTATAGTACTGATGCAGACATAAAGGACATACAAGTTTTGAAGGTCATTAACTTGGTTCATTAAGGAAATCTAATGAGGGCTGGAGAGGGGGCTCAGCAGTTAAGAGCATTTGTTGTTCTTTCAGAGGACCCAGGTTCAAGTCCCAGCACCCACATGACCACTAACAAATTTCTATAACTCCAGTTTCAGGTGATCCAACACCCTCTTCTGGTCTCTGAAAGCATTGCATGCATGTGGTGCACTTACATACATGCAGGCAAAACACTCATACACAGAAAATAAAAATAATGAAATATTGGGGCTGGAGAGATGGCTCAGTGGTTAAGAGCACCGGATGCTCCTGAAGAAGACCTGGGTTCAATTCCCAGCACCCACATGGTGGCTAACAGTCATCTGTGTCTCCAGTTCCAGGAAATCCGATGCCCTCCTCTGACCTCCTCAGGCATTGCACAGCATGGGTATACTTACATGCAGGCAACACACTCGTACACATAAAATAAAAATAATAAAACTTTTTTTAATGAATGTAACAACATGTGGACAACAACAGCTGTCCTGGGAGGGCTTAATATACTGAAGATTTCTAATATCACCCTCCAGAATGGCTTCATGGGCATCTCATTTGATTTCGATCTAGTCCTGAGAGATGCTCATTGCCCCCATTTTCCAGAAGGTTCTGAAGTCTGAGAAAGGTGGGATGATGCTCTAATGATGATCAAATTTTCTGTCCTCAACCCCCAGTGCTTTTCCTTCCTCCCGTGCTTCACATAATTTACTGGTTGCCTCGCATCTCTGAGTCGGCCGAAGTTAAAATTAGAGGGTCAGTCACAGCCTTCAAAGCCCAGGCTGTTAAGTCATACCATGAACATCTCCTTTTATTACTCTTGACAGCTAGATGATGGGAATCACCAAGGCTGGGCTGCATGACACCAAATGGGTTAACCACCTCTTTAATAGCTTTCTTTTTTTTCCAGTCTTCCCCGAGGTAGTATGTATTGCCCTGAGGCGTCTTGCATCACAAGAGTTTGCTCAGGATAAAACAGTCAGACACATCCCCCAGAAAGCCCGGTAGAAAAAGCTGTGCTGGGTCAGTGGTCAAAGACATTTACAAGTTAGGACCACAGTGAACCCCAGTCTGTGTTTTCTCATGACTTGGTTGTTCTGTTTAATTTCAGGCAAAGTAAACGAAAAACAGAAGCCAAATATTTGCTTAGGTCTGACTTTCTCTGACAGCAAACCTGCAAATGGGCTGCTGTCTGCAGGAGTCATTTCATGCACTGGTACACGCTGTCCCCCAGTCTGCCCTTTCCTTCCTAGTTACCAAACACACTCTTATTCAGCATACAAGACCCAGAGCAAATGCCATGTTTCTCGGCACCCTCCCTCCAAGCCCCCAATACTATTGACACCTCAGCCAATCCTTCTCTCGCTCAGTGTTTTTACTGTTTGCCTGTCAGTTTTTCTCATTGACTACAGTTCTCTAAGGAGGGGAAGCTATATCCTTAATCCATGTATGAAAGAAAAACAGGGCTTGTCAGAAGCCCAGAGTACAGACAAGTGGTTTACAAATTTATTTTAAATCACAACCAGTAATAAATATATGTTATATCATAATCTCGTAACAAACACAGAACCAAGTTGTGAAAGTTAGCTTTAATTGTCAACACAACATAGTATTACCTGGGAAGAGTGGCTCAAGGAAGGATTATTTACAGTATTTATTCCCTTGATGTGGGAAGACCCAGCCCATTGCGGGCAGCACCATTCCCTAGGCAGGGGTTCCTGAGCTGTACGAGTGGAGAAGCCAAGCCAAGCTCTAGCAAGCAGGTGAGCATGCAGGCATTCATCTCCCCCTGCTCTTGACTGTGGATGTGACATGACTGGCTGTCTGAAGTCCTTGCCTTGACTCCCCACAGTGATGAACTGTAACCTGGAACTGTAAGCTGAAATAAACCCTTTTCTTCCTTAAGTTGCTTTTGGTTTAGGTATTTTTATCACAGCAACAGAAATTAAATCAGAACAGCAGTAACAGGAATGCAGTAAGTCTCTATTGGATGGATGTATAACCATGAAGACACCTGCAGTGCTGACTTAACTGCAGTTAAGTAGGTAGGCAGATAAACAAGTAGATTTGTAAAACTAAAACAGAACGTTACACAATAATACTGCATGCTGTACCGCTGTTGGGGATATGTTTTCTAGTTTGTTCTCTGTACTTTTTATAGTGTGCATTGCGGTGCACCCAGTTGATTTTGTGACCCACCAATGCATGGTAACTTGCAGAGTGAAAATGCTGGTGCAGGTGATACTTCATTGCCATTGTCCTGTCCCCCACTTGTTTCCTCATTTTCTGTTCATATCTATTGAACGCCTTCAAACTGGGAAGTTTTGATTGCAAGACACAGCAGTAAAGAAAGGGACAGAGTGTGGACAGAGTGTAGGAGAATCAATATCCTGTCTGTCCCTATCCTGCCTCTTGGATGGGATCTGAACTCCCCTATAAGTAGGACTGGGTGATGGAAATTAACCAGACTGTTCACAACAAACTTTATTAGACTTTGGGCACAAGTAAGCCTACTTCTGGTCCCAGACTAAAGGTCTGCAAACCACAACCCTTGTTCCAAATCCACCTGTGTACTTGTTTGAGTAAGTGAAGTTATATATTCCTTTGTTTAGGAATGTATAACCGTGACTGCTTCTGCTCCAACTGTGGGGTTGAATAGCTATGGTCAAGACCACCTGACCCACAAAGCCACAAGATGTTTGTCATCTGGCTGTTGGCTATCCCTAGTATGGACAGAAAGTGTCCTATGCCTGTGGGGCAGGAAACCAGCCATGGGTCTGAGGCACCCAAAGTAGAGCCATAAACAGGGCAGCAGCTCTCTCAAAATGGCCAGGCTGTGTGCCTTCCCTACCACTGTCAGGCTGGGCACGTGGGTTAGCATCAGAGCTGCCTGAGCAGAAAATACTGGGCAGGTGGGTCTGGGTAGAGACCGGTGCTGCAGACAGCACAGCTTTTAGGAGAAAATGGGAGCACTTGCTGTGTCACTGTGTCTGTAAAGATGCAGGTTCTCAAGCCAGCTGACACTGGGGCTTCATTTGCATTCTGAGGAGCTGGCACACAAAAGATACATGGAGGGTACTAATACATATTTACTGAATGGCTCTTAAATCAGAAAGGAACTGGTGGCCTGTGGTGTTGAAATGGTCTTTTCACAGCTGCTCTTGAAGGCCATGCTGGTGAAGAGCCCAGAGCAGGACTCCTCCCCACTTGGAGCTGGGGAAACTCTTCCCTCAGTTGCTTTGGCAACTGATATTAAAGATGGTGATTATGATGATTGTGATAATAAGGATGATAGTTAACATTTATTAAATGTCTATTGAGTACCAGGCATCCCTCTGGGTTCTTGTACTTGTAACTTGCCTAAGGAGAAACAGCTAAGGGGAGGTAGAATTTGAAAACAAGATGATCTCTTAACAAAGGAAAAAAAAAATTGAGAGGGAGTCAGGGCATACGGGGGGGGCGGGG